GTAAAAACCTTGTGTGATGAACTCAAAGCTATAAAGAATCCAGTATCAGTAGATGAACACACAGAGATAATCTTGGATGGGCTTCCACCTGAATTCAATGCTTTCGTTTCTTCAGTTCGTGCACGAGAAAATCTATATGCTCTAGATGACTTGAGAATTGAACTCATAGCATATGAAATGATGTTAGTTAAACAGAATGAAGCTCTGTTGTCAGAATCAATGACAGTAAACCTTGCTCAAAAGGCTCCAATTTCGAATCAGAATGAAAATTCGACGAGCAATATTGATCCCCTAATCTCAACTGCACTTGATCAATAATACAACAATGGATCCTATTAGGCCAGCAGAGGTAGAGGAAGATCCTTTGGTAGAAACAATCGTGGTAGAAGTCGAGGAGGTCGTAACAATCTTCAGTGTCAACTATGCTACAAGTTTGGACACAATGTTCATAACTGTTGGCATCGGTTTGATGAACATTTCACTCCTACACAACCTGAACCAGAAGCACCTCAATATTTCAACAGAAATTCATACCAGAGGTCTTTTCACTATGTGAGACCTCCAGCCAGTACTCACTCTCCACAAATTATGCTTACCTCACTTCCAGCACAGAATGCTTCTTCACGGCAAAATGCAGCACTTCAACGAGGACTCTTACCTACTCCATCACAAGTATCACAATTGGATTGGTATCCAGATTCAGGTGCATCACACCATGTAATAGCTGAACCTCACAATTTGCTCCAGAGCTCTCAACTGTCAGGTTCTGATCAGATTTTCATTAGCAATGGTCAAGGTCTGGATATTCAAGCTATTGGTTCCTCTCATTTCTCATCTCCCTTTAATCCACACACAAATCTTTTTCTTCACAATTTGCTTCTTGTACCTTCTATTACCAAAAACTTAGTCAGTGTTAGCAAGTTTGCAAAACATAACAATGTGTATTTTGAGTTTCACCCATCCTTATGTTATGTCAAATCACAAGAATCACATGAGGTACTACTTGAAGGTGCATTAGGGATTGATGGACTGTATAAGTTCAATGGTGTTCAACTTCCTCATTCTTCAAGACAAATTAGGCAGCATAGTAATTCAGTGTCTCCTATTAATCCTGTTTGTAATCCTACTTGTACTCCAAATTTGTTTTCTGATTTGAATTCTATTGTTGTACCATCTCAGTGTGATAATACCACTGAATCCGTAAATAGCAAACCAGTAGAATCAAACTACTTGTACAACCTCTGGCATTGTCGTTTAGGACATCCTCATAATGAGGCACTTAAAAATGTCCTACACTCTTGTAATATCTCCATTCCTAATAAAGATCATTCATTTTTATGTTCTGCTTGTTGTTTGGGAAAGGCTCATAGATTATCATCTACTTTATCTACCACCAAGTATAACAAACCCTTTGACCTCATTTACAGTGACCTATGGGGTCTAGCTCCAATTAAATCCACCATGGGATATACCTACTACATGTCTTTTGTTGATGCTCATAGCAGATTCACTTGGATCTATCCTTTAAAACAAAAGTCAGAAGCACTTCTCACCTTCAAACAGTTTAATGCTCTCATTTCTCATCAATTTCAAATGACAATCAAAGCCATCCAAATAGATTGGGGAGGTGAATTTCTCCCCTTTACTCAACTTGTTCAGCAGTTAGGAATAATTCATAGAATTGCTTGTCCTCATACCCATCATCAAAATGGGGTAGTTGAAAGAAAGCACCGTCACATTGTTGAAACAGGTCTAACTCTTCTTGCACATGCTTTCCTACCACTAAAATTTTGGGATCATTCTTTCATATCAGTTGTATATCTCATCAATTGTCTTCCTACTTCTTCTTTGAATTTCGAAGTACCATTTACCAAGCTGCTCAAAGTTACACCTGACTACAAGTTCCTCAAGGTGTTTGGATGCACATGCTTTCCTTTTCTCCGACCCTATAACCACCATAAAATTGATTTTAAATCCAGAGAATGTGTCTTTCTTGTGTATTCACCACATCACAAAGGATACAAGTGTCTCAACTCTGATGGGAGGGTTTTCATCTCCAAGGATGTCTTGTTTAATGAAAACAAATTTCCTTACCCTTCATGGTTTAAATCTGACTTCTCTTCCTCTCACACTTCTAGTTTTTTTGTTAATAATGTCATACCTCTTGTAACTCACAGTCCATCAGTCACAGTATCACAGTTTTCCATGATTAACTTCAACACTGACTGCATACCTACCACAAATGCCTTATGTCCTGTTACCACCTCTATCTCAGATTCAAATAACTCATCCTCTCATCTTTCCCATACTGAACCACAAATTAATCCTATACCTCAGCTTCTATCATCTCAATTTTCCCTTACAGAACCATCTCCAACCCCATGTGATGTTCCTTCTCTACCTGCAACTGGTCCTGTAAGACATTCCACCCGATCCTCACATCCCACATCCTACCTCAAAGACTACCATTGTAATCTAGCCTCAAGCTCTATTACTTCAAAACCACATGTCATGACAACATCTCTTGAACCAAGCTCAATTAAACAGGCCTTGGCAACCCCTCACTGGTTCTCAACAATGCAAGCTGAGTATGATGCTCTTCAAGCAAATGATACTTGGACTTTAGTTCCTTTTCCACCCGACAGAAGTGCAATAGGATGCAAGTGAGTTTTTTGTGTGAAAGAAAATCCAGATGGAAGCATAAATAAGTACAAGGCAAGGCTTGTTGCCAAAGGATTCCACCAACAAGCAAGATTTGATTATAATGAAACCTTCTCACCAGTGGTTAAACCTATAACAATTCGAATCATTCTTACAATAGTTGTATCCTATAGTTGGTCACTAAGACAGCTTGATGTTAATAATGTCTTTCTTAATGGCATTCTTGAGGAGGAGGTTTATATGCAACAGCCCCCTGGATTCACATCTAATGACAAGTCTCTTGTTTGCAGGTTAAAGAAATCTCTTTATGGACTAAAACAAGCACCAAGGGCTTGGTTTGATAAATTGAAAGGAGGACTATTGCAGCTAGGATTTTTTGGCAGCAAGTTTGATCCTTCCTTATTCATTCATCGCAGCAATGGACAATGTGTCTTCATGCTCGTTTATGTAGATGATATTATTATCACTGGGAGTAATGCTCTTCTTGTTCAGAATCTGATTACTCAACTTAATTCTCTGTTTGCACTCAAAAATCTTGGTGATTTTGACTATTTCTTGGGTATTGAGGTCAAAAGAGAAAATTATGGTGCTATTTTTCTCTCTCATTCTAAGTATATCAAAGAACTACTAGTCAAGGCTCACATGGCAGAAGCAAAAGGCATCTCAACTCCCATGCCAACCGGATGCAAATTGTCCAAAAATGGATCAAACTACTATTCCGACTCATTCCATTTTCGCTCCACTGTTGGGGCACTGCAGTATGCCACCTTGACCAGACCAGAGATCAGTTATACTGTCAATAAGATGTGTCAATTCATGTCCCAACCTTTGGAAGAACATTGGACCATTGTTAAACTCATTCTTCGTTACTTAAAGGGCACCCTTGCACATGGACTGATGCTGCAACCCAGTCATCCTAACAACCACTTCTCTATCACTGCATATTGTGATGCAGACTGGGCCTCTGATCCAGACGATCGCCGATCCACCTCTGGAGCCTGTGTTTACTTTGGAGCCAACCTTGTCTCTTAGTGGTCAAGAAACAAATAGTTGTAACACGTTCTAGCACTGAGGCAGAATATAGAAGTCTTGCACTTGCCACTGCTGAGATTCTTTGGTTAAAATCCTTACTTAAAGAGTTGCACATTCAGTTTAGCACTCCTCTTATCTACTGTGATAATCTCAGCACAGTTGCCTTATCTCACAATCCAGTCTTGCATGCTCGTACAAAGCATATGGAACTCGATATCTTCTTTGTGAGAGAAAAAGTGATTGCTAAAGAATTACAAGTTCTTCATGTTCCAGCAGTAGATCAAATTGCTGATACTCTCACTAAGCCTCTTGGAGCTCCCAAATTTACCTCTCTTCATGACAAACTCAGAGTTGTTGATTATGCATCGTTCAATCACAAACTCTGAGTTTGAGGGGGTGTATTAGCACTGCTTCTGTTTTAGCTTAGCTTATTTTGTAATTAGCTTTTAATCTTCATTTACAGTTGTCAAGTGGTTAGCTTTCTGTTAGGCTTTCAGTTACAGATGTCATCTCACATGAGTGTTGAGTTGCTGAGTCACTCACTTTCTATTCTGTATATAAGAACAATTCTTTGTATCACATAATTCAGTTAATTCATTACATGCAAATTCAATCGTTTCTTCTCTGTTCTCTTCTCTTCCCAATTCTCTTTCACCTTCCTTCATTTCTTTGATACTAACATAACCTATCCATGTTTCATGTGAACAATCACCCCCTTATTCACAAATGCAATTTGAGTGGATTCTTTCGTGCTGATAGCAATATTAATTCAACTAATATGGCTTACTTTGTAGATTTAGTGGCTGCTAAAATGACATCAAGCACTCGCTCAAAACTTCCGTGTAGGGGGAAAAAAAGTTTTAAGATCACTTCATTCTTAAACTTTCTCAAATTTATATCAACAACAAGTGTTGTCAACACCTCAGAGATTCAAAATTATGGTCAACTAACCGTATTTCTTCCTACCTTCTTGACATTACTTTGAAGCTACTTTGAGCTTAATTTCCCAATATAAAATTCTCTAACAGAAAATTACAATTGGGAAAAGCCACTAAAAGAGAAAATTACTTGGATGTAACCAAAGCAGGGGAGGAAGCTACTAAAATTCACACAAACATACATGTTTCCGTGCAATACTATCAGCTAAAGCTTCTAGTGTCTTAAGGAAGAGGTAAATTACGGCCATTTGTGGAACTAAAATAAGAGGAGACCAAAATATAGAGGTGCTTGTTTCCATTTGCTGATTATTTAGCTGACAAATGACAAAGATGATCATGTGCTTTGAGACAAACGAGTCTCTTGACACGTCATCCTTGAGTTCCATTAGGTTGTTTCTCTTGGTAAGGTTTTGTATCTCCCATCTCCATAGATTCCTCCTCTGTTGAGGCCTGCTTCATTGGAACACCTTTCTTGTTACGGTATATGAAATACAATATTAGTTGCATTGCACCCAAAGCAGAACCAACACCATTAGGTACCTGCAAAACCATGTTTCTACCTCAATGCCAATACAGTAAAACGCAACTAGAAATTATTTAATTAAAATTGCAAAGTGAACTTACAGCAACAAATAGGTCACGGCCTAGCACACCGAAGATAAACCAGGAAGTGCCACAGAGAAGCACAAACAACGATAAGAAGAAGGGCATGAACTCCACACTCTTAGTTCTTATCACTAGTCTCTGCACATAGTTTCAAATCCGTTACTTAGATATTAAGCAAAAACATTTTTTTTTATACATTTGTAGGAATTAAACACACAACCTAATACAAATTATCTAAATCTCTCACCACTAGATCAATCTCAGTGGCTAACAAAAACATTTCTTGCACACCAAAATTTGTATAACAATTTATTTATTTTTCATCGGTTAAGGATCACTTAATTATTAATTAACTAGCTATATAAATTAAAAGCTGAATAAAGTTATTAATTATACAACTTGTTAACTAATAATTAAGTCATTATTACTGGGTACAAAATTTATTGGATACAAATAACCGAATTCATAAAAAAATAATAAGAAATTGTGAGCATTTGTCACTATATCCAAGACAATCACGATGATATTTTCAATGTAATTATTGCAACACTACCAAAGCAGGGTAACTAAGCCACAAAGGAATATTTAGGACGGCATGGAGGCATAATGGTCGAATGAGGTGGAAACTGAGCTTACCATAATTGAGAGTGGCGAACCATACATGATTATAGAAAATATGGCAGCAGCGAAGCCACAAAAAAGCTTCCTGGAATTGTCATGCAGAGCAAAAAGGGACACAAAAACAACAGCAGAGAACACTGAGAGCACGAAGGTGAAGAGCCCAAGAATTCTACCCTTTTCCTTCTTGGGTGCCAATATGATGAAGATCAAAACGTATATGGTTTCAATCACTGCTCCGGCGCCATTCACTGCTGATACTAATATGTTGTGGGGAGACACAAAAGGTAGACCATACCTGTCCATTGTAAAAATCAGAAGGACTAGAAACACACTAAATTAAAAATCAACAGAGGTGCTCTTATGATAGAAAAAAACTTTTTCTCAATTTTAGTGCCATGTACGAATATGCACCACAAAAATGAAAGAAATTAAGTACACGTGATTCGACGGAAGATTTGAGGGGAGGAGGTGATAAATGTTAGAGTGTAATATAAATCATTAAAAAGATCCTCACTTACCACTTAAGGTTTTGAGTTGAAGTGGTTCTTTACATGGTATCAGAGCTTGAGTGACTACAAGGTCACAAGTTCGATCCTCACCGCCCCTCACTTTAAAATGGAATTAAAAAGAAAAAACACAAAAAGGTAAACCAAAAATTGAGACTGTGCAATATCCACGCTTCCACGCTTCTAGCCCAAAGGGCTCTTGCGTGAGGGGGTGTGTTAGAGTGTAATATAAATCATTAAGACCTTCACCCAACTAGTTAAGGTTTTGAGTTAGAAGTGGTTCTTTGCAATAAAGCAAAAGAAAGAACAAGCGAGAAGCAGCTCACCAAGCAGAAAGGAGACAATTGAGCAGTGTCATAACGTATGGAATACCCGAGAATTTCTCTGTGGATTTGTTGATTATAATCCTCTTGAATGTGATCCTGCAAAACCCAAATTTGTCACAATTTTCACTTCATATTGCACTCTTCCACACATCCAAGAAGAAAAAGAAGGGGAAAATGCTGATTTTATGCACATGTATGCAGAGTTGGTTGAAATTCTCAATTTCGTAAACCATGTTCAGGACCTAAACAGAATAGAGAATGGAAAAGGTTAGCAAGGTTCATGGAAGCCCCTCCAAAGGAGAAGATCCACAACCAGAAAGAAAAAAAAAAAAACTTAACAGTTTGAGAGAGAGAGAGAGAGAGAGATAATAGAGAGGGAAGGAGATAGCTATGTGATGCATACACTGGAGCCAAGAAGAGGAACAGAGCGGAAGCATTTCCTGTACAAAGAACAATGAGAAACGGATAAATCCTAGAGAAGAAGGGAAAAAAAAAAAGAGAGACACTTGTAGAACTAAGAAGGATTGTTAACATACCAAATATGCCAAACACCAAATGCGCAACATCCATGACCTTGAACTTTTTTTTTTTTTTTACCTTTCTTCTGTCTGATCTGCAGGAACCAAAGTGCTCAAAAAATGCTTCTTTCTTTAAAAATGATAACAAGCTACCATGATAGGAGAGCACAAGTTAGTGGGGTTATATAGGAAAAGGAAACGAGTGCAAGTTTAAATACAGTATAATACTGTATTTGTCTAATTCGTGGGATTTAAATGATGTTGAGAACAGTTTTCGTTGGTAAACTTAGATTGGGAATGTGTTTTGTGTCTGAGTTATGTCAACCCAAATGAATGCAGATGCTTAAGCTATATATATATATATATATATATATTGTCATACTCATAACTCACTGGTTGAGGTAAAAGGAAAATGGTAGTTCCACATGACTCGGCAGGAACATGAGACGTATTCAACAGTGCAGTTTCTGCAATTAAAAAACAGTTGTAATGAGATTTTAACCGTTGTGATTTTAATTAAAAATAAAATTTGCAAAAAGTGCCAAAGACCAAAGGCCAAAAACCAGAGGCCAAAACTGTAGATTTTCCTTGATAAATTTATCCCACGTATCATTTTGTAACCGGACAACGGCTAAGCAGAAAAGAGCTGTTTAGTTTCTTGTCTTGAAAATTATTTTCTGTTTTTTAAAAATGAAAAAACAATGGACCTTGTGATTGGATCGAGATTTATGAGATCAATTCTTTGTAGAGGTTAAAAGACAATAAGCTAGAGTTCTTTCTATTGGGATAAGTTCTGTCTTCACTTCCAGTTCTGCAAGATAACTAGGTGCCATCATTGTGTGTTAAACACCCTCTTAGTCACTCTTATTTATATAGTTAAATAATTCAGCACACAGGACTAAAATTGTGGATACAGTAAAATTTATTGTAAAAATATTTTGTATATTATGTGTTGATTTAAGTAAAATAAAGCTAAAATAAGAGATAGATCGAATTATTGATTTTTTTTTGTGTACAATTTTTTGCTACTTAATTTAATAAGTAACAAAAATATGAAGATTTATGCTATATCTTGAGTTTTATTTTTATCTTTTTCAATTCTTATGCTATTTAAATTATCAAACTAAATATAATTTACTTTTCTGGCATGCATCCTCTGCTTACCTGCAAACAAACACAGGTTAGAAGAACAGAGAAGGAGCATGTGACACTAATGCTCGACAATATCTATTTCGTGGGAATAGGTGGTAATGGGAATCTGCCTAGTTTCTCTAGATTTCCCCGAGGCTATCGTTGAATTCCACGAATCCTTTGGCGGATAAATCTGAGGAATCAATCAAACGGTGGATTGTGGAATTTCTGCGTAATGTAAAGAGAAGTAATGGTTTATTTGCAATTTATTTAATTTAAAATGTATGATAAGTGACTTTGTTAATATAATTACAATTCTTATCCTAACTTTCATAATTAAACATGCTATACTCTTATTTAACATTATCCATTGGAATAACTTTTTCCTTTCTTAAAATTATATTTTATACCTCATGAGCTTATAGCTCAGCTTTGCATACATTGGCCCATGATCAGAGTCATTGGATCTACTCACCTATTTCCATCCCCTTATCCTTTTCACTTTCAGGTGGTACACTAAATTCTCGCTCCAAAGTAGGGTTTTCCTTTGGTCGAATGAGACCTCACGGTAAAAAAGAATTTAAATTTTATGTAACAATATTTTATACAACAGTAAACTTTTACTTTTGTATTTTAAATATATATTGTTTTAATTTTTGAATGATTTTCATCATTAATTTAATTCATCAATAATATAAAGCATCATATCTTTACTTTTCCAAATATTTTTAATATAAATTTAGTCTCTAGACAATATAAAATGTCATTAATTAAATTCGTTAATCATTTAAATATCTTTGATTTAGTCCATGAATTAAGATTTTATTACAGTAACTTTTAAAATTAGAAACAAATGATAATTATGTGGTATTAATAATAAAACAATAGATATAATAAATACTAATGTTATTAAAACCGGCCCGGTCATTCACTCGGTCGAGGTACCGGGTCACTGGTTCAATCAGTGGGTCACTGGTTCAACCGCATGACTCGGTAATTATATGTAATTTTATAATTTATATTAAAAAATTATAAACATACTCAAATATCTAAAAAAAAAATACAAATTTCAAATATTTTAATACAAAATATAATAAATCACATATTATTATTATCAAATAAAAATATAATGATTATGATACAGGACTTTAGGTTCAGAAAACGACATCTCTAACTATAAACTAATTCAAAATTTTATGCATAATACATAATTGAGATAATATTAGTGTTGTAGGTACATAACTTGTGTAAGTCAATAAGTAAAAAAAATTCAAATATGGCTATTATGATTTTTTTTGGGACCGGACCGGGTCCCCGGTTAACTGACCGGGTCACCGGTTTTTATGAAAACCGGCCGGGTTGGACCGGGTTGCACCGGTTCTGATGCATGGCCGATCTGTTGTTTCAACCGGACCAGTTATATGACCGGTTTACCAATTTTCGAGTCGACCCGGCCGGGTCGGTCCAATTTTAATAACTATGATAAATACAATTAATTATGAGTCATGTTTTTTTTAAAAGGGATTTATAGGTGTCATGTGACAGTAAACTCACTAAATCATGCCATAGACACACCAATTATGGGACCCATTATTTTTTTTAATAAAAAAAAAAAAAAAAATAACTTCACACTAATCGATGAGTCAGCTGGAAGTAAATTAAAAGTTCTGTAACATGATACGTGATAATCCCTTTTTAAAAAGTTAGTATATAATTCACTTGTTCATCAATACTGCGTGAATACTACATAATTTTCGTGTGAAGGCCTTTGATTTTGAGACTTTAGCTGGAGGACTAGCTTGGGAACATAGGATACGAAGGTCATTCCCGAATCAAAGTAATCAATTTATGACTTGCCAACCCCAATGGATGCAAAGGGAAATTAAAAAATGGAAGATGATTTTAATACATCTAATTTGGGTGCATTGAGCATGTTATCATGTTATTAATTTACTAATAAATATAATATTATTTAATTAAAACTAATTGTACACCAATATTTTACATATTTAGTGCCCTTCAGCATTACACCAAGTTAGTCTTAGAAGTTTAGAATCTCTCTTTTGGACATGACATGAACACGATCGAGGCATGCATGTGTGAAAAAGAAATTGCTCCGCGGCCTATTTGATTTTTATTTAATTTTTAGATTAGATTGAGAAAATAAAATAATTAAAATTATGATAATAATAAAATTAGCCTTATGGAAGAAAATAAGGAGATTTGAAACGACCAGAAAGATAATACAATCTGTCCTTTTAGACTACAAAAAGCATGTTGGCAGTCGGCAGAGATTCCATAGTGACTGCTGGTCAAATTTATTCAATTTTTTCTTTGTGAGTTTACTTAGTTGGATATATTTTTATCGAAAATTTAAATAAGTCAATTCAACTCCAATTATGTAATGCTATTCATTAATAAAGAATTAAAAAAAATTAAGGAATAAATACTCAGCAGTATGGTAATTTTCTAGTTCATTGTAATTTTAAATTTTGACAAAAACCCGCGCGGTCGATTTCTTCACATTTGACAAATAATTCAATTCATTTAACAAGTCATAAGCTTGTAAACTCAAACTGAGAACACATTATCCTATACAGCCTTCCTTCGCACATCCTCCGAATTGATGTATCTCAGTTGGTAAGGTTGAATAAATAAAGAGAGAATTTGAGTTCAATTTTCCTAAATATATTTGAGGAGGGACGAAAACTTTGGGCGTTTGGTACGTGAGGAATTTTTATTTGTCCGGGAATCTCGATTTTCAAAAATATGATTTTTGCATTTAGTTTACGATAATATCTGAAAATTTAAAATTTAAAAAAATTCAATTTCCCGAAAATCTCTCAAAATCCCGCATACCAAACACCCCCTAAGGGAAATCTTTTTCTTATATTGATGTAGATAATATTAAGATGGATCTACAAATGATTGGAGAGAAGAAAAAAAAAAGTAAGACCCACCTTTGTTATTTTGGATACAAGTGAAAATTGAACACATAACCTAATATAACTCACTCAAATCCCTCACCATTAGACTTATTCTAGTGGCTTAAAACAGGTTTATGCTTTTTTTTTTAAATATAGGTTAAGGCAGACGTGTAATTTGAGCCTACACAAACTAATAGGCCAATCCAGGGTAAGCTTTTTTACACATGGATAACCTATTTAAGCTAATATCTAGCCTATCCTAGTCTATTTACAGTTCTACGCATCATTTTTTGCTTGATGACTGATGAGTAATAAAAAATCACCATACCGGCACTACCATGGAGGTAGTTCATTCTGATCTGCAATAAAACTCAGTTTTCCATTATTAACGGAACACCCTTCATTATGGCTTTTGTGACCTTGCTTCAATTTGGCCAAGAAAATACATCTTTTAGTTCATTCTGATCTGCAATAAAACTCAGTTTCCATTATTAACTCAACACCCTTCATTATGGCTTTTGTGACCTTCCTTCAATTTGGCCAAGCAAATACATCTTTTAGGTGCCCGTAGCAGTAAACTATTTATGTAATATATTATAGAATGGAGAGCACGGCCAGGGCCAGCTTATGGTTTTTGGAATTATTATGGCTTCACGTTCAAAATGATATTTTTGGGTCGGTTATTAATTTATTATCCCTAGCAAATTGAGTGGGTCGTTGAGAAGTATTCATTACAAAATTCAGAAGATGTAACACAGATTTCTGTGATATATATATATATATAAAGTGGGTCGTCGAGAAGTATTCATTACAAAATTCAGAAGATGTAACACAGATTTCTGTGATATATATATATATATATAGGGGCAGGATATTCTTACATCGGTGTAAGAGTTAAAAGTCTTACACTCAATCTTGACCATTGATCCACTTGTATCAAATGGCTCACATTAATAAAAAAATTAGAGCCTTGAGATATAAGTGGAATCAACGG